TGGACCGGGAAGCCGCCACGGACATGCTCTTGTTTTTCGCCGTCGCATGGTTCTCCCAAGTGGCTGAGGATCTGGGCCGTCAAACAGCGTCGACCTTTGCACACCAGCCGTGGCCACTTGATGAGCGCACAACCTTCACGGACCCATACTCCTCGCCAAACCCTCCTCCTTCGTCGACGGCTATGGCTTCCCGTCAGTACTCCGTACCTGCACTCCCACTCTAGATGGTCCGTAGAGTGGGAAAAGTGGTTCCAACAGCAGGACTGTGGGGTGGGGGGACATCCGCCAACGATCCCAATGGTAATTTCCGTGCACAGACGGGCCCCCCCGCCCGAGCGGACCCCGTGAGGCCATTGTGTGCTGCACGATACTTGTGCGGCACCCAACACACCGGGTCGTGCACGACCACACACGGACATGTCCTGGTGCAGGCCGATAGAAGGCCATGGACCACAGCCCGACTTGCCTTTTCGGGAAACATCCCGGGGGGATTTCCTGTTCGGGCATGTCCATCCGTTTCCAGTGCCGAGAGTCAAGGGTGGCGGTGGGGTCCCAACGAAAAGCGGCAAGTTCTTTCCAACCACGCTCGGCTGTTTTTTTGTGGCCAACTTGAACATCAGTTTCCAGCTGCCGGGCAGTGGGGTCCAGGCCTAAGTGAGGTTTGGGAATACAGAAATTTAGCCTGGTCAGAATTTGCGTGAACGTGGAGATGTACGGGGGCCTCCCTGCTGCTGGTGGAACGTTTTTTTTTTTTTACAATTGCAGTTGCTCGGAAGCAGGCCCGGCGTCCCTTACAAAAATTACACAGTCCCAGGCTTGCTCCCGACGACTCCGTCCGGGTGCAGGTCCAGGCTGCAGGAACAGAAACAACACCTCTGGTGGGACTTTTACTCTATGGTGAAACTCTTCTTCAGTTGAACATCACCCACAGAGACAAGTGGCTATTAGCGCTTCGCGACCCGCGGACGGCAAGGCCCGTCTGCCAAGGAACGCGCATGTTCTGGGGCGATGGCTGCCACATAGGCGGTCCGTGGCCCCCGAGACTTGAGCATCGCCATCCCTGGTCGGTTTGACCAGAGTGGGACACCCACGTGGAGGTAGGCGGTGTATTGACACCAACGCAACAAGAGAAACTGAAACATCAACACTGAGACATCGACAACATAGAGATATTGGCAAGAAACACGATGAAGACGGCGACACCAACGAAGGGTATGTGGAGATGCTTCTAGAAGGCAGGGCAGCGATGGAAAAGACGTGAACACGGATAACGCCTCTGGATGACAAGAAAGCTGGCATAAGAAATACGACCATTTAGAAGGCAGGATTGCGAAGGTCGCGTCAGGCGAGGACAACAACAGAGCTGACGGAATTGGAGACGGGGGCCCGGAGTAGCTTCTAGACGAAGGGAGACACGGAGTGAGGGGGGAAGATGTTGAGTGGCGAGACTGGTATCCGAATGGCACACGTGAGGGGAGGAGAGGACGGGGTGGAAGGGCTGAAAGGAACGGCACGAGACTCGATTATGGCCAGGTGGCAAGAGAGAACGTGGGGGACGGTGAACAAAGCAGGGGAGGAGATACCTGGCGAGCGAGTAAGACGGTCATGCACACATCGAGCGGCTGGAGGCAAAACTGTGCACAATAAATTGGAGCAAGGATCCTCTTCCCGGTAATCATACCTCCCTGTCCCCCGATCCCTGCCACCATACCCGGCCACCTTACCAGCCCCCCCGGCTCCCCAACACCCAACCTGCTGCCGCCACCAGCGGCTACCCTATCTGTTTTCTCTCCCCAAACCCCCTCTACGCTCCCATGCTTCCTCTTCATTCGAACCCTGTCTTCGGAAACGACCACTCTCGGCCTCCCTCAATATCCTATGCTACCCATGAGAAAGCATCAGAGTCAAGCAACAATCACACACTCACAAAGGATTTGGGGAGGCTGACACGACACGCTCTATCGATAAAGTGCCTCTAGCGATTGTGTCAATTGAGTCAATTGATAAACCTCCGAGGGTGAGAGGTCTCGGAGAGGTATCAACATAGAAAAACACAATAAAACATAACCGAGACCACTACGGGTGGACCTGATGGAAACAACTATCCACCCCCCCACCACACCAACACGGGCTCTGGAAGCAGCGAAAGGGGGCACTATGTCATCTATGTCTGGTCAACCTCGGCAAACGCCGGGGTTGAAAGTAGATGGCAACACCACACATGATGTGAGTATGGGAAGTGTGAAGGCCACGTGGAAGGACAAGGTCGCAGGAACGACCCCTAAACAACAGCTGAAGGAATCAACAACCCACCCCCCCATGATACAGAAACGGGCATTGGAAGCAGCAAATGGGGGCAATATGCCACTTGCAACCAATCAGCCTCGGCAAACGCCGGAGTTGAAAGCAAATGGCAACACCCACGTGGGGGTGTAAGGGCCACGTGGAAGGACAAGGTAGCAGGAACGACCCCCAAACATCAGGACATCCCCTCCACCTCCGGGAAACCGATTAAAACGCCCCCTTACTTGCTCAAGGCACTTTCGGCGCCTGCACAATCAGAAGCCCATAAATCATCCACCCTCGACTCTATGGGTCCACTGAAAAGCCACTTCATCCAACAGCTATATGTGGAACCAGAGAGGAGATTTCAAGTAAGGGAGGGTTATATCTACCCCCATTCGATCTTCTCTGCCCAGGCCAGGGCCACGCGGGATACGATCTTCCTGCGTAAAGCCGTGTGCTATCGATTTCAACCGATGCAGGTGGCAATCCCGGTCAATGACAAGGTCAAATGGATAACAGACAAACTCGGGAGAATTAAACCCGACCGACAGCTGGTCCACAAACACTTCCTCATCGAGGTGGAAAATCAGGACTGTGTAACTGTGGTGGCACTGTATTCAACAGACAGACATATCTTACTTGAAAAAAAACAGTTGCAGTTCAGAGACAAAACAGTGCAAGTGGAGGCCTGGTCCCCGGCCAATCCACATTCCAACGATGAGAGAAGAGAGTACCTCATGAACTCCAACTTTTGGGTGGAGTTCAGATTCGCATCTCTCTGCGTACAGGGAGCAATCCTCACAGACCTGGAGAATATAGCACATGTTAAGGGTTACATAAGAGACCTACCTCAGTTTCTGGGCAAACGAGATGACTCGCTCTTAGTGGTTGTGGATTGGGATCCCTCATACCCTTTCCCCTCAATGAAGAGTGGAGATATTCCTACTCAGGCAAAAAATTTGTGGTTCCCATAAGTCACACGCAGGATCCGTGGTGTTATGCATGCAAAGACCGTGGCCACCTGTGCACCGACGATGAATGTCCGAAAAACCACAAGTCGAAGATCAGAGGATTGGTGGTCCCCCACCCGACGGATGAGGAGAGATGGTACCCCAAGGAAAAGTTTCTCGAAGGTTGGATCTTCAGAGCTTATGCAGACGGGCGCCCAGGGAAATGGCTATGGCAGGGGAAAGGTCGACCTGGAACCTTCCCGTTTGGAGCCGACTGCATAATACAGAACGATCCCAAACAGAAAGGGGAAAGGGATCTGACTCTAGAACCGACAAGGCGACAGGGAGGTGGCAGGCAGACACACGACAGTGCTGAAATGCCAAAAGGCGAGGGAGATGGGATGGCCCAGGGGAGGATGAAAGCTCGCAACACCAAATAATTGAGCACAACCACTGCGTCGGCACCCAGTGCCCCTCCCCCCTCGACGCCCATGTCCCTACACGCACGCAACAAGCTTACAAACCCAAGACTAAAGCAGATTCAACGAATTTTCCTACTAACCCCACCGAAGGAAAGTTGACAGCGCATCCACCCCATGACCTCGACGACGGAAAAAAAAACGGGCCCGCAGGTTGGATTGGGATGAAGCAAGCCAATGGACCCCTCCCTCGCTGGGGGATTAGAACGCAGAGAGTGTGAGAGGCTTGACGGTTGTCAAACTGACCACACGGATCCACCATAAAAAGCAGCCCCGATCAATGTCCTTGGAACTTACAGACCAAATGACTCAGGTGGTGATCACTCAGCAACAATCACACTGCCCTTTGATGGGGCAATCCGAAGAAACTCGGGCGGTGGTGAGTGACGATGGGCAACACCTGCTCATAGCAACCATGCTGCCACAGCCGCTGGGAGGGATGCTAACCTCCCCGCCTGATCCCCCTGCGGAAGGGACAAAGCTGACTGCATTCCCACTGCCACAGCCTGCGAGAGGGATGCTACCCTCCCCGCCCGACCCTCCTGCCGAGGGACACAAATCTTACAAGATAGGATCTTGGTGCAACAACCCTTGCCAGAGAAACGGGGGTCACAAATGGAAGGGACTCATGCAGGTGGTGGGAGAGATAGTGAGGCGACAATGGAGGGGTCAGAGGAGGTGGTCAGGGTGGTTCACATTGACACATGCATCCACAACACCCCTCAACACCGGCTCAGCTGCCGGAACTGTTGTCACAAACGGAAGGAACTCATGCAGGCAGTGAGCAGGACAGCGAGGCGGCATTGATGGGACCAGAGGAGGAGGTCAGAGTAATTCACTTTGACACATGCATCCACCACCCCCCTCATCAACATCAAAACGACAATGCCCAACGACCGACACTACCGGCCCCGCCGCCGGAACCGCTGCCTGTAACCCACATACAAGAAAGAGATGGGACACCTGACCCCCCCAAACCAACCGAAGATGGGGGTATGAAGATATTAAAACCACGACAGGTGTGGCTCAAGGCCAACTCCCTCCTTAATAAAATAAAAGATGCTGCGTTTGCACAACACTGGGACTTGCAGCGGACTGATCACCCTGGACATCCGCACCCGCCCCCCCCTACTCTACAGTTGATAGGGGGTCAGCAGCAGAAATCCGAGCAGCCTGCACTGGTTGACGATGACATGCACAAGACCGAAGGAATTTCCCCCCAAGATGACCCATCGCGGCAGGCAGAAGAGGGGAGAGAGCAACCAACACAGCCCCCGGAGCGACCGCGGTCCCTGCAACACCGAGACCTGTGCCTACCACTGAAACGACTGCAGCAAGAACAGCAGGATCGATACCCGGAGGATGCTATGTCACCCCAACAGCAACAGCTACCACATGGGCACGGGTCACCAACTCCGCAAGACCACTTTCCACTGCAGAATGCAGACGAACAAGCTCACAAGCACCAGTAGATCTTGCAATTACAGCAGCGAGCCCATGAGGAGCAACTGCAAGAACAAGAACAGAAGAGGCAGCAACACCACTACCAACAAGTGGCAACAACAACAACTGCAGCTCCGAAATCAGGAGCAACAAACACAGCAGCTGTGTGACCAAGAACAACAGAGGCAGAAACTCTTGCACCAAGAACACCAGCAAACCTTGTTGTTGCAAAAGCAAGCTCACGACACACAACAGCAGGCCCCGTTCACACACGAATGATTGCAAGAGGATCAACAATGCCACATGCAGCAAGCACAACAACAGTTGCAACATCAGCAGATGCAGCTCGAATACCCGCGAATGTAACATAACAAGCAGAGTCAGCTGCAACACGAGCAATAATCACATGAGCAACAGTTGGCATGCCGGTCACAACCACAAGCACAATGCCATACACAACAAGCTCAACAGCAGCTGCATCACCAGCACATGCAGCTCGAATGCCAGCTAAACCAATAGATACAGCTGCAACATGAGCAGCAGTCGACACAACATGAACACCAGCAACACCTGCTATGCCAGCAAAATGCTCAAGTGGAGCAGGAACATCACAACCAACTGTTATAAGAACAAAACCAATGCGAACAGCAGCAAGAGAATCTGATGCCGGTGCAACACCGACTCACCGAGCGCAAGCAGAACAGCAAAGCCAAATCCAACAACAAATGCGCTTGCAGACACTGCAGCATGCACATTTACTGGCTCAGCAGCATAACCAACAACTAAACACATAGAGGAGAGAACATGACCAACAGGTCCATCTCCTGCTGCAGGCTCAACAGGCACAATACCATCACCAACAACAGCAGCAGAGAGAAATGCAACAACAACAAATCTTACAGCACCTGCATCTACAATGGCAGCAACGGTTGTGCTGCCAGCAACAACAGCTCCTGGAGCAGCAGCAAGAACAGTTGCGGATGTTCTGGCTTCATGAGGCGAAAAGGCATCACAAGCAACGAGCGCAGGAAATGGCATTCCAACAGGCTCACCCAACCTGCACAACACTCTGCAACCACGAAGAAGCGCAGGAACCCCGTGATATGGACACTTGCGCCTCAGATGAGAACCGCCAGCCGAAATATCAGCAAGATTCCGCATCCCATCACCACTGGCCAACCTACGCAGCCCTCAGCAGTTGGGGTGACTCGGGTGAGGGGACGCAGCCTCAAATCATGGATGTTGAAGCTGCCCCACCCACAGTCCCACCACCTGAGGAGGCTAGTCCTCCGCCGCATTCATCCAATGAGGACGTGAAACAAAAATTGGCCTTCCTTACCAACTGGACCCTTAGGAAAATATTTGAATTGACAGACGATAAGCCAGGGGACAGACTCAAAAACAGACATTGGGAGGAAGCCAAAACGATACTTATGTATAGTCCTCGCGTTCTGGCCACAGTCGAAAAATACAAGGAAATCTCATCTATTGACTGGATGGATGTGGGGGCTGCTATTGTCCTTGTGGTCAATGAGTTCCTGGACAGAATTGGGAACTATGTGAACACCTGTCTGGCCGATGGATCCTCCACTAAAGACACGAAAGAAGAGGCCTTCTTCCACGAAGGTCTGGCCTGACCCGAGATTCTGGTACATGAATTGTGCACCATACTTTACCCCTAATCTCAACTTGCACCACATCGCTTGGAAGGTACCCAACTCCAGTTACCTGCGACACAAGGGCACCCCTCGCCCTCCCCAGACTCCCTCTCACTGTTTTCTGCTGCGTGGGGGCAACGATTAGGGACATACCACACGCACACAGTTTCCCGAGGGACACCGCTGCCACAATTGCAGGACCAGCAACAGCAAGTGCCTGCTGACCTCCAACACCAAGTTGAACATAGTTTACACCTGGCATGCCTAGATCAGGACTAGTGTAGTAAGAAACAAGCGATCTAGATTATCCATGATGACGACGACGATGAGGACACCATGCACAACGGAGAAGAGGAGTACAGAAACAAAAAGAACTCGGATAATGATCTTCTGTCAGACACCCCCCCTGAAAACTAAGACACCTCGTGAGACTTCAAGAGGACGATGACACCCCGGTGGCGATGCCCCCTGGGGTGGTTATCTTCCCCTTGGCCAGGGAAAGGGAGAGAGGACGATGGCTGCTTGGTCTGGGTCCACCTCCTCACCAACCTCAACAACATCATCATCATAACACCAGAACAGTGCCCCCCTCGGGCTACATAGTGGAGGGGTGGAGGGGCACCCCGTCCACTGCATTCATTTTAAAACGACTGAAATTATGGATCTAAGAAATTGGCATGGAAAATGTGCTGGGGGCAGTCCTCCCCAAATCACTTCCTTTTCCCAAAGGAATCATTCCAGTCATCTTGCTCATAGACCCGAGGAGGAGACCCGCATCAACAACTTCAAAACTCAAATGGGTCAACCACGAACAACTCATGAACCTCACTACAACATGTTTCAAACCCAACCACACCTGGATCTCCAGAAGAATCCTCATGTTCATGCAACTGTTCCTTGAGGAAAACGTGCTGGAGGAGCACAGTCAATGGGATGACCTCCCATTCATCCTCCCTATCAAGATCGTGGATTGAGTAAGGATGCAAAAAAAACATGCTCTCATTCATCCTCTCTATCAAGGTCGTGGATTGAGTAAAGATGCAAAAACAACTTTCATAATTGGCGCAACCACAACAGGCAAACTGTAACATTCATGGACGCAACTGCAGATGTAATCAGCGGTCACCGGCCACCCTGTCCACACATGAACCCCCCTCACACTCCCCGCCCCCCCCCCTCCTTGCCACCGGTCCGCTTACCCCCCAGTCGGCCCCTTCACAAACCCATCCCCCCCCACGTCCCCCCTTCCCCCCATCCTCCCCCAAATCAGGAGGTCGCCGCAATGGACGTCTGAGTTGGCCGGAGCAGACATCGTTGTCCGATCACGCAATGTTAACGGTCTTATCCAAGTCAGTGTGGACAAGAAAAATGCCATCTGGAACATGATTAAAACCCGGTCACGGGAGGCTGGCTGGACGCGGTTTGTATCCAAGAGACACACCTGCAACACACAGCCCCACACATAGCAAAAGGAAAATTCATATGGCCATATGCAAGCTATTCGGCGCCGACAAAAGAAAGGGGTTCAGCAGGTGATGTAATTTGGCTCCCGTCTTCCTCCAGACTCGAACCGATGGCCTGTTGATTACGACAGGCACCAAGGAAGATGAGTGAGCCTCAAAGTTGCTTATGAAGAAGAGAAATTTTACCTCGTCAACGTATATGCTCCCAATGACTCAACAGACCGAGTGGACTTTTGGCTCTCTCTCCACCACTACCTGAAAGTTGATGCCCCGTTGGTATTGGTGGGTGACTTTAACACAACATTGGACCCATCCTTAGACCGCCGGTCCGCTAACCAAGTGAATGATGTGTCTCCCTCCCTGCCATTATTAGGGCCAAACATGCTTATGCCTAGACAACTAATGGCGGACAGACAACTAGAAGATGCCTATAGAGTCCTGCACCCGACCCAAAGAGCATACACCTGTCTGTCCTCTAGAGGTGAACAGGGGATAACCAACTCCCACATTGACCTGACGCCGGTATCAAAAGACCTCATGGGACTCATTACCACTGCTGAAATAACTACTATTAGCCCATGTAGGTCCTTTGACCACATAATGATAGCAATAGGTCTGTCCTTTCACGCTCACATCCGAAGGGGCCCAGGTTACTACAAGTTTAATGTCTTCTTGCTCCCGCTGTCAAAATTCGAGGACTCGGTGAAATAATTATGGATCTACTGGCAAACTTAGAAGCCATAATCAGGAGACAAAGTAACATGGTTTAATGAAGGAATGACACAGCCGAGGGAAAAAGCTAAAAAGTTATCCATCCAACATGCCAAGGACCGAAAAGCAATACTGGACAGACTCATGAGCGATCTCGAGGATTAGGACGACAAACTCATGGACGAGACCCTCACCACTACCCTTCCTACGAAAAACTGCAGGAAGCTCGTGACCATCTCCAAGCATACATAGAGCAACAATCAGAGGCCGGGAGGATACAAGCCAGAATTAGACGCAAGCATGCAGAGGGAACGATGGCAAAAATAGTTTTTGCAAAGGCAAAGGCTAGAACACGTGCCAACACAGTCCCTAGACTTAGGCACCCGCTGGACACGACAATGCCGGTGGCTTCTAATACATATACCATTGCAGATTATGTGGCCAGATACTACACACACCTCTTTACATCCCAAACACCCAACAAACACCCGGAAGGCTAGGGAGAGTCTGCTGCAAGCTGTCCACTGTTGCCTCACAGTAGAACAAAGAGAGCAATTGGAAGAACGACTCACCTGTCAAGAGGTATGGGTACTATGGGAAGCCTTGCGAGGCATGGAGGATGACAAGACCCTAGATATTGACTCATTCCCTAAAAAATTCTGGATGAAATTATGGGACCTCCTCAAAGATGACCTCATGGAATACATCCTGGTTGTGCAAAAGGAAGGGTCCTTCGGGGGAATGATTGGGCAAGGAGTGACCACACTTCTTTACAAAAAAGGGGATAAGGAGGACGTCAAGAGCTATAGACCTATTACCCTCCTCCCTGTCCCCTACAAGATGGTGGCCAAGGCACTGACTAACCGTCTGTTGCCACTTAGGAATATGATCATACACCCAGACCAGAGGGGGTTTATGCCGAATCGCAATATTCAAGGTAACATCCTACTGGTTAATGAGACCATCAAATATGCGCGCCTGTGCAAGGCAGAAGCTTCAATCTTATTTATAGACTTTGAAAAAGCGTATGATCATGTTGCCTGAGACTTTTTGGACATGTGTCTAGTCAGAATGAACTTTGGTCCGACCTTCTGTCATTGGGTGTGTCTCCTGCACAGGTCTACCTCTACGAATATCGTGCTCAACGGCCACCTCTCGACACCCATACAGCTGCAACGGTCGGTGAGACAAGGTGATCCCATTGCTCCCCTATTATTTGTCATCGTAATGGAGACGCTTGTGGCTCTGATCAGAGCCCATCCCCAAATTGGCGAAGTGCCCATTCCAGACCTTCCCCAACATTTGATTCCGGTAACATCACTGTTTGCAGATGACCTTACCGTCCTCATACGAGATGATCAGAATAGCCTTAAAGCCCTCACACAAGTTATACACCTATTCTCATTGGCCGCAGACATGAAGGTCAACTGGTGCTCGAAGACCGAAGGATAGTGGCTCCATCCACTAGGTGAGTCCCCCCCCCCGGAACATAGTGTTGCATGGGCTCGGAAGGAAGAGGCCATTAGGATCTTGGGAGTAAGCTTAACAACATTAGGGTCCCCACTGGACCATGGAGATACGCTAGTGGACATGGCAGTCGACAAGCTCACCAACTTGAAGTGGGAAGGACTGCACACCTCCCTTGTACTTCGGGCTCTGGCAATCAACAATGCCATCCTAGCATCCATATGGTACAAACCGGCGGTGTGGCTACTAAAGCCACAACAATACAAAAGACTTAAAAGGACGCTGACGACCTACTTATGGAAAAACAAACTCGATGACCATGGCTGCCTGAGTAGAGTCAGTTGGGACGTCCTCACACAACCTAGGGCTAATGGGGGGTTGGGGATGTTGGACCCTGAATATGAAAGTGACGCCTTGATCTTCAAAGTCCTCGTGAGGCTGCTGCTGGGCAATGATATCCCATGGGGCCCGCTGGCTTGCTTACAAATAACCAACCTGGCCCCAGAAACAACAATGGCTGGTCAGATACATCCCTTCCAGTGGCTGACGAATAACCATTGGACAATCCCCTCCCCCCCACAACACCGGGGGTTGAACAATGTGACTCAAGGAACGAAACAAGACATAATTATGGACCCCCTATGGCCCAACATGCTTAAACTCTTGAGACGGTGAGGCCCGAAACAAAAACAACCTCCCCATAGGGCCATAGGTGACATAATATTTGGAGGCAGCCCCAGAACTCTCATATCCTTGACGAAGCAGACAATCCCTTTAAGATCACAACCAACTCGTCTTGGCTTAATTAGGAAAAGAGAGGGGTTTACACAGTTGGTGACTTATGGAATCCCGCAACGAAGGACTGGGCTTCAGCAGAACAGCTTAAACTGAAACTGAAGCATGTGCGGAATATGGAGGAGAAGGTGCTCCAACTCAGAGAGGCCCTTCCCCT